GAAAGAGAGGCTTGGGATTATCTCCTAAACCCATGAAAAGGAGAAGAGTGTAAAAGGGTTATTGATCTTCGCCCATTGAAAAAAGATCGTTAGTGGATGTCGATAGTCTTGACGGAAAAGAAATCGGGAGTGGATGTAGGTCATAACGATCGAACCACTATAAAAATCTGGTTTGTATTTACTTTAAGCCTTTTATTTTAATTGTAAACTGAATTTTATCGTATGAAGTTTTTCAAAATTAATTAAATTTATCATTTTTATCCGCTACACTAATTGACTCGATCCTAACAGGGTAATTATTAGTTAGTAGGAATATGTGGCTAAGTGGTATACTTGATCTACTCTAGAATCAACAATTTCAATTCTTAAATTTTGTGAAACAAAACCAAACCGTATAAGATCATTATAGAATCATCAATTTTTTTTATTTTTTATTTAAAATAACTTTAAAATAAAAATTATAATATATATATATATATATGTATATATATATATATATATATATATATATGTATATATGTATATGTATATGTATATATGTATATGTATATGTATATATATATATATATGTATATATATGTATATGTATATGTATATATATGTATATGTATATATATATATGTATATATATACATATACATATATATATACATATACATATATATATATATATATATAGTTATATATTTAAAACACGAACCCAGTTTGAATCGGAATCGAAATCCTCGGTTTCGATTCTCAAAAATTAAAAATCATAATTGAACCATTCAAGCATCAAGGCCTAGTTGATTTTGAAAAATCAAAAATTTTATTTTGGTTTAGAATCGATGAACCGTTAGATTAGCACGATCTCTGACATGTTTATTTCAGCCCATGTCCGATTCTTCCTGCTTTAATCGAATTACCTTTCATGATCGAAATTAGTCATGCATCACTCAAAAAGTATATTATATCATAACTTCATCAATTGATTTCATCATCAAAATTCAAGATTCATAAATATCTAAACAAATCATGATTGTTAGAAGTACTATGCGAATAGTATTGATAATTTTAGACACCGAAATGACTTGAAATAGTAATTTTTTTCGCCTCTCATTTCTAACCCTACTCCACCCATAGGCAGCAATAGAATTTTATATTTTTTCTATAAAAACTAAAATAAATAGATTAAAAAAATTAGACAATAGGCTATTGGACTTTTATATTTTTAAACACCAAGTTGATGCCATCAAAATCAAATATGCACTTTTCCGGCAACCTACTTGCCATTTTAGTTGCATACACAATAGTCTACTCAAAGCTGCAACCCGACACATTTGATGATGATGAGAAGATGAGACTAACTTAAGTGTGGGAAGCAATAGTATTATTCCACTTCCATCTACGATCACATCTCATATCTCATTAATTTGTTGCGGTATGTTTTCTATAAAAGACTTCACCTATTCGAGTCGGTATTGAGTTATTGGTTGAGTGCCAAAAAATGTTCACAAACGTTATAAGAACTTCAATTTTATTTTATGAGTTTAGGATGATAAAAAGGAAAATATGTTATAAAAAAATATATTTCATATTGTAGTTATGTTGACATGGCATGTCCAAATAAATACCGATTAGATTTCATATTTCGAGTATCGATTAATAAAAAATAATGATCGTATCACTTAATATTATAATGATTTAGTTAAGAATTCTATGGGAAACATATTCTTTTTATGATAAAAAAAGGTATTTTAATCTAAAAAACTTCATGAGAAATGACCTATCAAATTATAGGTATTTATGGATAAATTTCTCACAATTTTGGGTGATACAAAGCAAACATTACAATTTAATTGGGTGATGTCTCATTCTTTTTTATTGACAATCTTCAATAATAAATATATGATAAGATTGATCATTAAAATTAGTGAGAATTTAAACTAAATAAAGCTCAATTATGAACCGGGCCGAAATGAAGACCGGTCCGGTTCATGACGCGATCCAGCCGCAGACGCCATCGTAGACGAAACGAGAAACCGACGGCTGAGATTTCATTTTACCCTAAAGAGTAGTTGTCGGTTCGTAGTCGGCGGTGGCGGCCGAGGCTTTACGTATCGGAAACGATCACCACAGTAAGTATGGTTCCGCCTTTGACCGTGCGGGGTCGAATCCGACCGACAAGTTCCGCTAGGGTTCTTTCCCGAGTTGGGATCGTGGCTTCGGATTTCGAGGTACCTTCCTCTCATCACCCCACGTTCCAGTTACCTGCAAGTCTGGCGCTTTCCATCCCCGTGGAACTCAGGTAGGGTTAGTTCGGAGCTTGGATCAGGGGGTAGGAGCTTCATTCTGGTTTTAGGTTGTTTCTGTTTCGATTAGGTTCACATTCGTCCTCGAGAAGGGACCTGCCGTATCCGTCTTCCTTCCTTTGGTAATTTAGGTTTTGGCTGATCAATACTCGATAAAAATGGCATCTTTGGGGATTCTACATTGGTTGTGGGCCGTAAGGGAGTCTGTTTAAGGGGAATTTAGTTCCAAGCTCGACTCTTTTATGGCCTTGGAATGGCGAGCGAGAGAGGAATCTTCGCCAAAGAAGCTCGTCGCTAGTCCTTGGGACGACGAAGCCCCTTTGGCTGGCGTCACGTCCCAGGCTTCTTGTGCTGCTTCAAGACCAAAGTGCAGCAAGAAATCCAGCTCCTTGGTTACACCGAAGAAAGGTGACTCCAAGTTTGGAAGCGCAACAGCTGATAATTCGAGTCCTAATGGCCAACTCCGATCCTTTACCGACCTTCCTGCGACCTTGCTCTCTGAGATTCTTCAGCGTCTCGATGCCGATGAGCTCGGCGTTGTGTCCTGCGTCTCTCCTCTGCTCAATAGCATTGCGTCTGACCATTGTGGGTGGAAGGGTTTCTATTGCGAGAGGTGGGGCTCCCCGCCGGGGGTGGACGTTCCTGCTGGACCTGGCTTTCGGGACCAGAGGTTCTGGAAGGAGTTGTTCGTGGAAAGGGAGTTCAGAAGCAAATCGTTCATGGGGAGGTTCAGCATAGATGTCCTCCATGGCCACACTGAAGCTGTTCGAGCCGTATTTCTTCTGCAGACAGCTAAACTTATCTTCACCGGAGGGTATGACTCTGTCATCCGTATGTGGGACATGGAAGAAGGCTTGTCGGTCGCAGTGTCTCGCCCTCTTGGCTGCACGATTCGAGCTATCGCAGCTGATTCGGAGCTGTTGGTAGCCGGGGGAACGGATGCATTTCTGCAGTGCTGGAGAGCAATCAAAGGGCATCCGCACCTGTTTGACATTGCCGGTTTTTCCCTGAACCACAACCCCAGCTTCCGCCTTTGGGGCCATGAAGGTCCAGTGACTTGCCTCGCATTGGATTCGACCAGAATTTATAGTGGTTCATGGGACATGAGTGTTCGTGTATGGGACCGAGCTCATTGTAAGTGCTTGAAGATATTGAGGCATGAAGATTGGGTGTGGTCTCTTGCTCCTCGACATGGCACCGTCGCTAGCACGGCTGGTAGAGATGCTTATGTTTGGGACACTGATAGTGGATGCCTGAGGACTGTTATCCATAATTCCCATGTGGGCAATGCATACTCTTTGACTCGCAGCCGTTTGGGAGATCTTCTATTTACTGGAGGAGAAGATGGTGCAATTCACATGTTCGAGATTGGTCACAACTGTAATGTTGAAGATGTCAAACCATCTGCAACTTGGGTTCCTCATACGGGCGCTGTTCATTCACTTTCTTTTGAGTTTCCATGGGTTGTGTCATCTTCAAGCGATGGTAGGGTTGCTCTGATTGATGTGAGGAAGCTGTTAAAGTCTGGTCGATCTCAGTCTCCAAGGCAGCATTCTAAGACCAGGTTCTCTGCTTCAGATGCAGTGGAAGCACCTCGAAGGATGCTACATGGCTTCGGTTGCAATCTTTTCTCTGTGGACATTGGCGCAGATAGGATCGTATGTGGTGGTGAGGAAGGCATTGTGAGGATCTGGAATTTCTCGCAGGCACTGGAGATTGCAAAGAGGGTCGAAGCCCTTAGAAGCGTGAGGCTGGAGAACCGGATGAGGCGGCGCAAGGCTCACATTAAGATGGGTGGCAATGGTGCACGGTCCGATCAGTGCTCTGTTGCAGCAAAAAGGAATCAGCTGAATGGAGAGCACACTGGCATTTGGCACAGTAAGCGTAACATGAACTCATGCGGAAAGCTCAAGGCCTAGCGACAGGAAGTTCCTCCTTGTAACTTGTTGAGTACATAATTTTGGAAGTTGTTTTAAACAATATGGTTAATCTTAATTTTAGCTGAGTACATAATGTATGTCATTTCAATTTGCATTCTTCATCATTCATTCGGGATATGCTCTATCATTTTCTTGTGGAAGTTTGTCATACTCATATCGAGTTCGTATACTTATACTTGCACATAACTTCTGTTTTATTATTTTCCTTTTTCGATTAGTTCTGGCCTCTTCTTTTCATGCTTCCTATGTCTAATTTCTCATACTTTTTAAAGTTATCTTTGCTCCTGAATTCGATCACGAAGAGTGACTCCGTCGAGATGGGTTTGAAATTGATTTTAGAGATGACACTTGAGATGGTGAACTCTGGGGGACTAGTGCACATTGAGTGGTTGGGTCACACTTTAATCCCCTGTTATGGTTGGTTTACATGCAATTAGCATTATCTCATGCATGTGACTGTTTGGCATCTGTAACTAATTACAGAACATAATTTGTAATTAGTTCCTCATGATGACTACTAATCCAATTTACAATTTTCCATCACAAAAGTCAAAAGAGGCCTTTCATGAGGACCTCAACAGCAAACTGAACAAAAGAATCAGATTTCACTATTTGATCTCAATATTTGTGGATACAACTTCTCATTTCGTAAACCAATATGACACCAAGTAGGTTTATGTATAAAGTTAGGAACATTGGATGAGGAAAACAGCCAATATGACACTGCTAGCAGATGGCTTGCGCACTGCATTACACTGCCATTAGGTGATGGGAGGGAAAACAACGTGACAGTTCCTCTTTGTTATTTCTAATCATGGTGTTTTTCACAAAATAGAACAGGTCTTTTTCCACCTCAAACAACAGGTGATAAAGTGACCAAAATGAACTGAGATAAAGACTGATACATTACTTGATGAGCACAAGAATCCCTAACTTCCGATAATATGATCGAGTCCACCCTGAAGATTGGCTACCCGATTTATGCCACCAACATTGTGTAGTAGCTGCTGCAGCCAGTGCCGAGTTGTAGGATCATCCTGCAGAAAAATTCAAACCAGGCAATGTTGCTTTGATACTACTTTCATTTGGGTTGAAATGCAAATTGATGGAAAATTTTAAAAACCAACATGATGTTTTAAGGAATGAAAAAGTATGGTGCTGTAGACTGTAGAGTAGGAACCATATAATTAGAGAGCTAACCAGATAAGAAAAGGAATCAAATACACAAAGCTCATATGCAACAAACATAGTCTGCATTACAGGTTCTATATTTTGAGTAAAAGGTAAAACTTGATCACATCAAGGTTTGCATTTCGTGTAATGGACACTCGTTATGGGGGTATACCGAGTTTCAAAGAAAATCTAAAAAAATGAATGAAAAGCACAAAAAAAAGGAAATTGACTTGATATAAGCACTAAACCAGGTGGTACAGATCCTGTGACGAGCCTACCGAGCAATACAGGCCCTGTATCAGGCACACCATCTAGTTTACCATGGTCCTCGATAAGCTTATCGGATTGGTAAATATTGCACATACCATACCATGTTAGACAATATTGCAAACATTCTAGTGAGGTTGAAAATGTTCAGATGAACTAGGAGAAGTTGCAATTCAATGGCATACAGTAAAAATATGATTGAAGAAATCTTCATATACACAAAAAGCTACAATGGCCAAACAACTCCAATTTTCATATACACAAAAAGCTACAATGGGCAAACAACTCCAATTTTCATATACACAGAGAGCTAGGATGGCCAAACAAGTCAGTGTAACTATGTAACATGGCAGCACCAAACTTACAATATAATTGTTAAAAGATCCGTCTTTTAGCATATTGGGAAGACAGTTGTTCAAACTTCCACATGCCCTGCAATTGTGCAAGAATATAATTAGAATGGTTTCTGGGAGGTGTCTATAAAATCATGAAGACCTTCAGTGGTCTTCAGATGCCGCCGAATATTAATGCAAGGCCAGCATGGCTTCAGCAAAACTGAGGTTTTTCTCAAGCATTCCATCAGAATGAATTTGTTAATTCACAGGTCTTATTTTGTATTAGACTCATGAAAGTTATATATCCTGTGTTTTATTTTAGACAAAATATAGGATGGATATGGAACTCTGGATCTGCATTAGCACATCTCTACAACAAGATGCTTCAGACCCTTATTTAAAAAGATGTTAGCATTTATATGTCGAGATATCAAATTTGGACATCGAAACCCCCTTTTCCTACAAAATAAATATAAGTCTATGAAATGCATACCTTGGGTGCTCCGAAAGCCTTAAGTAACAACGAATTATATGCTTCAGCAGTCTCGCAGATGGCTGTTCAGCAAGTGATGTGACCATGGATCCAAGCACTTGACCTACAGCATAAAAACGTTCTGCGGTAGCACAAATGTACCGAAGCCCAACATCATCCAACAATATCTTTTGAACAATAAAGGTCGCAACCTACAAAGATCAAGCTGATAAACTTGCATGAAAAATTGAATAATTATTTCACTTATAAGAACATATTACAAGTTGCCAACTGCTTATTGAGAATCTTGCAACTAAAACTGAAAAATATAAATAATATCAAGCAAAAACCATTAGGTAAACATGTCCCTGGACAAAGCCGTATATGTACTACAGAAACCAGCTGATCAGATTGCCAAGCACATGCCTGACTACACCTTTCCATGCTAGTATGGTGTCAACATTTTGTTAATGATGATTTTATATTATGACCCTGATAACTTAAGACATGTCGGATAGATGTAATAAATATGCTGTACTCCATATATTTCAACTGCCAAAAACGTGTATACTCTAAACTATTTGGCTTATCAGTTCATTTTTTCCATCTTTGCCAAGATCGTTTAGGTGGCCTCCCTTATCGCTCAGTAGGTGATATGCCTGGTGAAATTAGTGATCTAACTCCTGAAATCTACTCCTACCCTTAAAAAGGAAAAAGGAGTTTTTATTGTTTTTGCAAAGGCAGGATTCAAACCCAAGACCTTGCGATAAACTATCAAAAAAAGAAAGTAACAACTATTTTTGCTAGGGACTTGCTACACTCTTTAAAAAATCCACAAGATCTAGGTTTCAGTAAAACCAAGCCATTTTAAAACATGAAAGAAAAATTGTTTGTTCTTATTTTCTTTGAAATTAACATCCTCTTCCAACACGTAGAAAAAATATAAATCAATCAATCAAATTATGATGAGCTTCATAATTATAAGAAAATAATTGACACTCAAGCTCCTATAAGCATTGTACATTTCCTACAGAATTTAATTCCTTACTTTTATTTGTGGATACATGTAACACCCAAATTTAGTCCCGCATCAAAAGTGGGCTAAGACTTAGAATGTGTATAAGGGTGGGTATACTATTGTTAACTTTAATAAGCATTTTGATCAGTGGTTTGATCTTAATGAAGCTAAGAGGTCAATTATTCTATCGAGTTGGATTATGAAAATTGGTATCAAATCTGACTTAGTATGGAGGCATGGTGAGGGACTCGAGTAGGAAACGACTACCCATGGGCAAAGTCAAAGGGTACATCATGATGTGGAGCCACCATTGGGTCACGTCTCACGTGCACTATACTAGGGTCAGATTTTGCGCTATGTTGGGCCTTGGCGAGAATGTCAAGCACGTAAGTTGGAGATTGTAACACCCTAGTTTATTCCCACATCAGAAGTAGGTTAAGATTTAAAATAATGTTAAAGGGTTTGATGGGTTTACTATTGTTAACTTTAGCTTAAGTATTTTGGTCAATGGTTTGACCTCAACCAAATTAACATGCTAATTATTTCATCAAGTCGGATCATGACAATATAGGATTACATACATGAATCCAGCTTAGGTTTATAAAAGAATGAAAACATTTGGAAAGGAGAGTGAAAAAGCAAATGCAGACGGTAAATAGGATAGGATCAACTATGATAAAAAATAAAGCATCCTAGTCAAATTGCACATGTTGTTAAGATAACAAAATGTATTCTATCACAAATCATTCTCACAGATGGAAAACATACACCATCAAAGAATCCATAAGAGAGAATTTGTAATATGTCACTTTCTTACTATGGTTCATATTATGGGATACATACTTGTTTATATATAATTTAGTTGGGCATAATCAAGGAATTCAATTTCAGGTAACAAATCCATAGAGGACCATGCTATTACGAGTCCAATCCATGCTGGTATATTGACACATGATATATTCTAGTTTGGGGGGAAGGGAGGGAAGATGGAGGAAGGAAGAAGGGACGAGTAAGAGAAGCGAAGCGCAGAAGGAGACAAAGATGTACTGGTCCAGTGGACAACTCGACAAGCGACTACGAGTGGTGAGGGCTAAGCCCTTGGTATGACAACTGACTCCCGAAGAGTCACGCTGATCCCTTAGTATGACAAGTGACTCCCGAAAACTCGCACATCAACGTGTAAGAATAGGCAGGAAACATATATGCAAGATACAAAAGGGAGCCAGACTACTGAAAAAGAGGCAGTTTGCATCTCGGTTCATGCCCAAACCGACATTTGTAGATACTGATCAGTATGAAATGATTTCGAATAAGTTCTTCATTTCATGGTCACAATACAATATAGGCCGGCATAATTAAAAAAATCTTAAGACATTTCATTTGTTGATCTCATTTCATTAATTGTAAATAATCCACCGGTATCTAGATGATTGTTTGAATTAGTGTGACAATATTTATGTCACATCATCTTGAAACTACATAATTTTATTTTTCTATCCAAACATCAACTTTATAAAGTTTATATTAGATATTGGTATCAAGGTTTATAATCTCGTACCGACTAGGCACATCGGTCCTTGGTCGGACCAGTGTGTAATGATCAGTACCGATACATGGTACATGTAAAGAAGATTCAAAAAGGAAGAAGAGAAAGAATCAAATGGTGGCGGAGGAAGGAAGAAGAAAGAAAATTATGTCGTGCAAGAAAAGGAGAAAGGAGGAAGAGGCAGGAAGAAGAGAAAGCAATGGCGGAAAAGGAGAAGGAAGAAGAGGAGGAGAAGAAGAGAATGTCACACAACAGGCGATCAACTGCGAAGAGCAACAATAGGCTCTGTGCATACAGAGAAGAGGGCTCACGTCAACAGGGCTCATGTCAAAATGGGGTGGTCCGCATACCGATTCACACTCGAACCAGTACATACTGCTTGTTTAGTACCGGTCTAGGTGAGATGGCAGTCTATGATCTGTATACACAATATGGTAACAAAAACTCATAGAGCAGATTTGATTTGTAGATTAATGAGCTAAACATAATCTCAAATTAATGATGACAATTTAACTGTTTCTACAATGAATAACTAGTAACTCCAAAACATACCGTCTTTGAAAGTTCACTACCCATCTCCATCGTGCGCAGGCACAAAGGAATTATTTCTGTTTGAAGAAGAAAACTAATTACCTCCGTGTCATCAACCTGAAAAGGAATAAGATGGCTAACATATTGCAGTCATTGGAAGGATGGGGAAATTATCAGCTAGACAACAGATAATTCCGTAAATAACCGAAATATCAATTCACATTCAAGTGATCTGCACTAGATAAGTTGTAGGCTTGCTTCAACATATGTTACAACTCTTAAATACATGAGCTCCTTAATGCAATCTTAACCATCAACATAATGCAAGGAAATATGCAGCCTTTAGATAGTGGCAGAGGGGTTTCGGTGTGTGGTCAGCATGACACACACCAGGGTGTCTCCTGTGCTGACCTCAAAAGACCAAAAATTGGCCTAGTCATGGTATAAAATAATTATCACTGACAAAGCACAGCTCAGCACAGAACTTCAACTGTGCGCTCTTTAATTCAATCCTTGAAAGTATAGAGAAAACAAAATATGCATATAGGTTTATTTACCACAAAGAAAAATCATAAAATTTCACGAAAGGTTAAATATGCAAGTCAATAATTAACAAAACTAGAAATGGCAATTGAGTAATTTAAGAAGAGAACAAAAAAATTGAGGCTCCAAATGGAGCAGGATAGAGGCCATGAATATTTCAGCATTCTCTATTACTACCAATATATCAAAGGTTCGGTCAAAAACCAATGATAGGACACCAAAAGAATTTGTTTTGTGATCTAAAAGAGATTGTTGGTTTTCAGTATAAGGATAAGCTATCAAAATCAACTATCAATGCTAAGATTAGCTTAAATTCATCTTTTAATATTAATATGCTTCCACTATTTGTCTCATGCAAATATTGTGACAGTCATATCATGGAAGAACAGAAAATATATGGTGAATAATTTAGCAATTATTTAAAGGAATGACCAATATACTAAGAAAAACTGACGATTACAATATAAACTCAAACTGTAAGGTTCAGATCCAGGTTTCGCAGCCTTTTTTCCTTAAAAGCATAAATGAGTTTGATTAGAAAAGGTAAACAAGTTAGTAGTACTAGTCCAATACCTACATAGGTGACAATTTTATTTCTACTTTAACATATGATTTCAAACTACTATTAGATATATGAATAAATCAAAAAACTGTATTTGTAGATGTCGGAAAGAAACAAAAAAAGAAGGTACCTTTACAAGGGCGCCAATAACCCCCAGGCTGGTCAATCTTAAATACTCAAATGGCTTTGTCTTACTAGTGGTATTCAAAAAGGGATACAAATACAAAGGGATGTGTGCTGCAAAAAGAGGGTAAAACCATAAGAGCCATAAAGCCAACACATAACTAGGGTGTAAACCATGATATGCAAACATGCAAGAAATTTGGAAAGGAATGCTAGAGCTGGTATTATAAAGTTCTATACCATTCTTTCGCCAAGATTTTGATGAAAAAATTTAAAAATATTACTCTAAAATTTGAGTTCCTATAAATAGTCAATTTTTGACTTTTGACACATCTCAATGATGGTAAAAGATCTACGTAGCCGACCCTACAAATAGTCCATTTTTATCTTTTGTCAAAGTAGCTTGATCAAGACTTGTTATGACTTGCCACCTTATATATAACTCCATCATCCTCAACTATACAACAGCCAACTAACAATTAGTGGACATGGTGATTCTAATGACTTAAACATCCTAAAATCCAATGAATGATATATTAACTTGTAAGGTAATCTGGCAAAGTACACAGTCCTCTACCTCCTATTGGAGTGTCCTCTATGACTATTACAACAGAAAACAAAATCACCTGTTTCTTTCCCAGTCAATTCACACTAAATAATGAGCTCCTTTATTGTTCAATCTCACTGCAACACTTACAAGCAATTAATGAAAAACATAACACTACTTGACCTTTAATTGCTTTCATAAATTCCACCTGAACATTCATGGTAATAAAGAAAAGAATCGAAGTTGAGATGAAAATTATTGCACATTTTCAAATATTTCCCACCACAATCTTTATGAGTGATATAATTTTTTTTTACTTTTCTTTGTTGGCCCAAAAAGGGAGGATTTTACATATTTCAAAGAGAAGATGTCAATTTGCACCTTGTATTTTTTAAATGATGATCCAGTTTCTCTTATAAATACCCTACATTTTTCCTAAGTAGTTACGTATCATTCCATTGTATACTTCCTCTCAACATTAGCAATTTCGGGTACTAGTATTGGTTGGAGCTCAGACTGGCACCAAATCAATCCTCCATTGGTATTGCCAGTATAATTATGAAGTAGAAACCTTGACTGAAAACTTAAAAATATGTAATAGTGAATCGTAAGTTAATAGTGCCACTAGGACACTAGTAGCAACCAGAACCTATCGATTTTGTACATGCTATACCACATAAAAGGATAACCTGCTTGGAGTGCACATATTATGCACAATAATTGGATAATAAAGAACTAGCAAAAACCTTAAATGCATACAACCATTACTGCAGCAAATGTAACTTTTTTTTAAAAAAATGACTTAAATTAACTGCAAAATAGTGTTTAGTGTATACAAAAGGGGGAATGGAATGCAGGTCATTAAGGGTCTGGCCAATCCAAGTCAAAGATAACCTGTTAGATTTGGCATAAAAGGCTAATTAGTGAGCCAGATGTTGGAGCTTCTAGGAATCTAAGACCAGCTAACGACATTCATATTAGCTGAAAAAAACAATACATCTGACAAAATGTTTTGGATGGACCAAGGGCATTCCATCTCTTTGTTCAAAATGTTTACGATCAGGAGAGTCTGTTTTGACCCAGATATTAGAGAATCCATTACTTTGAGCTACTCGTAACCCTTCTTGAACAGCCCACAGCTCTGCTGCATGTACTTGAGTACCACAAAGAGAGGTATTTTCTAGATGAAGACGGCAATGAATGCTCGAATGAACTAATAATCAACCCTTAAAGAAATAAACATGAAAGATAATTACCATTTAGGAAAAGAATTCGTGTATCAGGATGTGATGCTACACACTGCAGAAAGAGAAACCCCATGGCATTAAAATATTGAAACAAAGCAAGCCAAATTAAAATGACATCCATATAAGTGTCTGCAGAACCTTGAGGAACAACTTGAAATAGATAAAATTGTATGAGTCACCCTTTATTTACAATAGCCAAAATGAGTTTATTGAAACGATAAAAAAAATAGCATTTATTGGAAACTGCAGACTTGTTGATATCAACTGTCACTTTAAGAATCATGGTATCTACCAAACACTGTAAATTTATACACAAGTACTAATAAACCATCAAACCAACTCAATGGAATCATAATTCAAGTTTTCAACATATGAAAATTAGGATCTCCATGACCAACATACAAACTCCACTCAAAAGCAACATATTCCATCCTGCAGAGATGAACTAGAAGTTGATCAATTTTGCATTCCGTTAGTTCAATGTATATAAGAACAAAAAAGGGAGACTTCCTTCCTGATTTACAAGACAGCCACTAGAATAGACCTTTAGCACAATATGGTATCTGTAGAAAAACTCGGTTTATAAGACATGAGTTGCCATGTTCTTGACTAAAGATAGCTTGCTCATTAATGCTACTTCAAAATGTTTAACTAAGATGACTATGGATAAGCAATTTTTCTAATTATTTTACTATGAGTATGAGTTTTCTAGCTTGAAGAGGATTTGGATAATTTTCCATCAACTTGAACAGTAGAACCAGTAAAAAAGAAGAAGAGGTCCTGAAGACTACCATGTCTTCAACCAATCAGGTTAGAGCCAATACTAACAAAAATGATAGTAATCTTGAGATTCATCTTGGGTCTTGAAACTGGAAGAAAATAAAACCAACTTTGGCAAAGTTCTTTTTTTGTGCAAGACACCTGATCTTACATCTTATAACTGTATACCCATTTGTCTATCCATTATGATCCAGTCAGACCATGTACATTGCAACATAGACAGACCTGAACCTATCCAAACAATAGAGTAGCTTTTAGCTTCAACTCATAAGTAACTATCCTGGTCCACATCACTAGTTGATATCTCACCAAAATCTTACAGATTCAGATAATTGGTTGAAATCTAACTGGACTATTAAAGTTTCAAGTAAGATATGAGAGGATCTATACCTAGAATCTCACTTTTTAAGTCTCAATTCATTTGTTCAAAGTTTCCAATTCCCACATACTTCAACCAAATTACACAATCACTAACAGTCATGTCTAATTTATTACTTTCAGGTTGTCATTGCAAATCGAAGGATCATTTAGTTCTAAGAGATCAACAATGTCAATAACTATCTTTTTTTTCCTTTTCAACTCCATAATGATCTTTCCTTCAAGTTAACTTGGAAATGAAAGTTTAAACCAAAAGAAAAAGAAGAGGATTCTCATCACTAAGTAGCTGTAGCTCAGAAGTACAGTGTCAAAATGACAAGACAAAACAGATGATGATGATTCATAATGAGTAAAATGTCAATTTTCACAGACCAAAAGTAGGACAATGACCAGTTGAATTTGCACTTGACAAACAAAAATGAATAAAATGCAAGAATATAGAAGACTGGTCATCAACTTCTTAATTATTAAGAGACAAGGTAAATAACTAAAGACTAAAACCTTATAAAACAGTGAAAAGGTACTATAAGAAATAAAAAAAAAAGGTTCCAGTGAACTGAAGAATTACCTGAAGAAGGGCAAGAGCATTGCAGACTCTATTTGATGCACCTGGTGATAAAGTTGGAGGTGAAAGAAAAGGGTATATAGAAACTATCTCCTGCAAATATCAAATCATGAGCAGAAGTCAGAAACCTGTATATATTAACAATGTGGCTCTTTTCCAACTAGCTAGCTGCATATCTTTAGTAGTAAGTTCATCAATCATAACTTGTTGAAATAGCCAGGTACTATAATCATGGATCGCCATGCTAGACATATTGGCCCATCCTGCTTGGCAATTGTGCCACTACCACACCAGCAGTAATACACAGGCATCAACAATATATTGACCGTATGGTGTACTAATTTCTTTTCTCTTTTTATCCTTTTCTTTTTTCTGTGTATGCAACCATTGAGGGTTGTGCCTATCATGTGTTGTCTTCTAGCAACCCCTGAGTTGTACCTAATGTGCTTTCTAGTTTGTTTCTTCATCTTCTTTAATTCCTGTTGTACTTTTCCTTGTCATTTGTACCGGTGGAATTTTTGTGTCAGAGAACGTCACATATCAACAACACATACTTTGCAGGATGCCAACCTAGCAAGTAAATTTAATCCACAACAATCCCAACTTGTAAAAGAAATGCATATTGCAGGAAGAAAAATCAAGATAAGGGACAGTAGTATCATCCAAAGCAACTTTTCCAATAGAATATACATACAAAATACCAATATTATGAAATACAGTATACATCTAAATAACTACATAGCTTAGACAGTGCTTATCAACAAAAGTATATTGCACTATAGTAATCAGGAAGAGACCTTCTCTGTAACCAACAAAACAACCATTACACAGTCTATATACATCCAACACAAATAAATTGTCATCAATAGTTCAATCGTTGATTGTAGAATCTTGACATTGAGATAGTGATCTCCAGTCTAGTGCAACTCTTCTTCACCATAAGTTGAACCTAAATCTGCATATTTCTCGACTGGGAATTGGACAGTTTAAAGTGGGTGAGGGGAAGAGGATGTTGACGTGGTTGATAATTATTCCACTCTGACATATCAGAAGAATCAAACACAGGTTTCAAAGAAAATGTCTACGAAAAGATCACATGGCTTCCAGAAGTTCGTTTATGTTTTTCCTTTTCAGAAACCATTTTCATTCGGTAAACTCTTTTTGCTTCATTCACATTGATCTTGTTGTCTGCACCAAGTTTCACATATTTCTAACTAATGCATGTCAAGACTATTAAGAAAACTATATCAGCATAAAGACTAACTTGGAGGAGTGCTGCAATTGTCCCATATGCGTTCCATAACAAAGGAGCCAAATCTTGAAATATCTCTCTCTTCTGCAATGAAAATTTAGGTATTAAGTTTTTTATAATTTTCACCATAGACAAATAGTAAAAAAGAACTAGGCCGGCAGCAACAAATTTATAGGTGACGAATTATTCTATGACTATTAATTATTCTAACCATCCAACCTTCATGCAACTAGCTGAATGGCCCTTGGGATTCCTGGAACATCAAACAAAACTACCCAATTCCCATCTTTGTTCAGGTCACCACCACTTCAAGATCAATCATCAAAAGAAGAAAAAAAAGAAAATAAGGAAAAAGAATAGAATAGTTCCTTTCCAGATCAAAAGATCCCATTGCAGTGCTCATAGGGAACTTTACCATCCACCAAAGCATACTAATCAATTTCAAGATAGAAGCTTCAGCTAATTACAGGAACTAATCGATTAAAAATTCAACCTTTCTACCGTAGCACAAGAATATCCATCGCCACAACATCAGAGAGGGTTTCCTGTCCGAAAGAATTAATGTATTACGCATCTATACCCCAACCATTACATTATCGACTAACAATCCACAGTAATTAAAATTTCCAAGACTCTCCTTGGAACATCAAGATCAAAAAAAGCAATTCGCAAGAACAGAACCCGAGAGCGTGATACCTTGGAAAGCTCCCCCAGCGCGTTCTCCCGGAGATCCGGTTCGCAGAGATCCAGCACGAGCTGCTCCGCGGACGCGATCTTGCGGTCCCTCACGGGCTGCCCGCCCCCGGCGGCGGACGACAGGGGCGGAGGGGCGGGGCCTCCGCCGAAGGCAGGGGCGAGGCAGTGCGGCTGCGGGAGGTTAGACATCGTCGGTGGCGGCGTAGCGACGAGATCGGCGACGCGAGAACGCAGCACAAGACCGTGATGGGAAGAGGAATCGATCGGCTTCTCTCGCACGCCTCTAATTTGAATCGTGTGGGATTTCCACAGAGGAGAAGAAACGGTGCAACTTATGAAACGAACCATTGTGTTCTCCTACCTGTTCCTTCTCACCCTGTGAGGTACCCGCGCGATAATCCCAGATTATAGGTGGGACCCGCATAAGACGATGCCGCGTGCCTCCCAGAGCATGGGAGAGGCTAACGTTTAGGTGTGACCTCCCAGCCACGGAAAGAGTGGGCGAGGTGGTCTTCCGATGGAATGTTGATGCGTGGGTGTATTTTAGGCATTAGAGATACGGCAAAGAAAGCGGCTTTATGCTTCTGGATTAGGGTTTTCGCATGTCTATACATTCAAAGATACCGTAAGATTTGATACTATTATACTCATATCGAATATTATAAATTTGATTAATATGTGAGATTATCAATTTTAGTCATCATTCCCATATGCCAAAATTAATCCGACCTAACCCTTTTTTCAAGTCATCAGGTTTGGAAGAACAAAATATTAAGTTGAGATATATATATATATCTCTCTCATCACCCTCCGACAATTAAGTTAATTTTAAATTATTGATTGCGAGTGAAAAAAATACTAGTTTAAGAACTTCAGTTTAATTCAGTTTAGTGATTTCACAACGAGAAAGCATCTGTTCATTAGAACAAGAATTCTCCTAGTTAAAAAGGAATTACAAGAGAGATACTCTTCCCATTAGAACAGGTTTTGTAGCAGCGTAGTTTAATTTCTCATCTAATGGATTGAATTGGGTTATTAAAGCTTGGTAATCATGCTTCTAGACTTAAATATTCCAATGATGCTGAATATTACCACTCTACAAGAATAGGAGTTGAATTCAGTCTTTTGTGAGCTATGAGAATAGGAGTTGAATATTACTACTCTATTCAAATACTAACCGACATTGAGGAACTGGCAACTCCAAAAAAATATTACTGATGCTCATCAACCAGATGACACTTTAGACGTTTAGTTGCTGTTTCCGATCTCTGCTGCTGTTGCTTCACCAATGAATAACAATCAGACTCATGAAAAAGCATATTTAAGCACATAATATTTAGACTCCTGATCAACATCAATGTACCGCAACAGTGTTGGTCATTCAAATATCAAAGCTAAAACCGGTTGACTTACACATATGTTGCTTTCCTGAACATGAATGAATGCTAATCCACCAGACTAGTATTTTGGATGTCTAATGCTTAGTCATGCAAAGATATGCCAATTTAACAGTGCTTAACTATAACATACCCTGGTTTGCAGGTCAATTAGCTGACACTGGTATCTCTCCTTTTGCCACACATTTTTTTCCCCCACTATGCTGCAGTTTGTAGTTGCAGCTTGGCTTGAAGCGCAGGAGGCCCGAACATTCCAAATAAGCAACGACAAACATGCAATGATTGAAACAAGAACTGCATTGCGGTCTCGTGAATAAATAGTAAGACTCCGATGAACAAAAACAAGAACATATACAAGTTCAAGGGCAGTTCGAAGAGCTGAAGAGATACCACAGGAATGACAGATTGAGCAGAACAAAGATCAACTATTCACATACAATTAGAGACTTGACAAAAAGCAATGCATTTCAGAATGAAACAGTCACCAAAGAAAGTTCTCGGCGTGGTTTGTGAGATGATGGCGTGCCTTAATCCAGACCAGGAGCTTCACAGGCAGCAGAAGTAACGAAAGCATTTGTTTGGAGGACACCAGCCACCAAGCAGATAACAAAATCTTTTATTTTCTTTTAGTAGCACACAACCCTGTCCTTCATTTATTAAGTGATAGGAGCGACATCTGCTCATCTATGGAGCATTCTACATGGCAAGAAGATCGGCACCTGGCAGGAATCAGGATAAGCCCAAGACATCGCTGTTCCATTGGTGATGAAGAAGACTGGCGAACGCTACGATACTCCACTGCATCCTGAAGGATGATGTTGCCTTGTTTGTCAATACAATGAAATACACCCAAAAAGAACCGTCCATCACTGACCCCCACAAGCATCCGACGAAAGAGAAGTTTCCTTAAACGTGCCACTAATGGTGAGCCATCACCACCAGAGTTCCCTGACACTAACGAGTCAGAGTGGACATCTTGCATGATTGGAGGACTGGAGGATGATCCTGGTCCTCCTTCCGTTGCCTAAGAATGTTCGTCCTCTTATAAGGCTGACGAGAAAATACTGGAAGACTTCAATGTGCCTGTTGAGCGGGGAAAAAGGATAAGATTTTTTGGTCTAAAGTAAATAGAACATTACTGTCTGTCAATGTATAAAGTGGCAAACAACATGTTGTCAGAGTATCCAGACTCGTGATAGACATCTGATCCAGAAGACTAGGAGTCACAATATTCTGGACATCAATGTAAACCTTCGAAATCGAGATTATCCATGTCCTTTATTAGAATTAGAATTAGAATTAGAATTTAGGGTCAGTTGTTTACCCTAAATAGGACAGGGAATTGGCTATGAGAAATATGTAGACCATCCTCTCTCCCCTCCTTTTTGCGCCTGTCTATCCTACCCCTTTCTTCTCTTTTTTCCACTAGGCGGGGGGTCTGGTAAAATAGGTTTTATTATTTTTTTAATGAATTCTATTGTTACATGATGCCTCTTTTTCAAAGTTTTTCCATATAAGTACCGCTCATCGACTCATGTTCCTAATGTACAATAGTAATTTGAAGTTTATAGCTTGATATCTATCGTTACACCTCGTAGTCAAATTTGATCACTAAGCCTCCTGAATCTCCATATAAGTCACTAAATGCAATCAAGTATAATAAAGTTGTATTAGAATCATTGGTTATTGTACGAAATCATATGGGTGTTTATTTTATTTTATTTTCAATGATAAATAGGAAGAGTTGAGACTTAGCAACTTCAAATGCAAGAGCCAAGTTTTGAAAATCCCCAAGACCAAAATAAACAACTTGAATAAGATTGTGAGAAATTATGTATCAAGGATTTATGAATAGCAATGCTATTGTTGGAAGGGTCATTAACATTAATTGAACTTCTAACTTTTCAAAACAATATGAATACATCATCACCTGGCTGTATCAACTAGAACTCAATAAATGATGGCACGAATGCGTTAAATCTTTTATGTGGCTACCAGCTAGCTAGGCCACCATTGGAATTTAGGAAAGATCCATCACCAAGGTCACTAACACATTTGACAACCATGATGGGGCAGCATGGAAGGGGAATGAAGAAAACTAGTGCACTTCTTTGATGTGAAGCTTAGAGAAAAGATAAAACTTTGTTCCACAATTACGATGTAAGAAGAAGAGAAAGGAAGGACTGGCATTGTCAACTGGAGCTGGAAACTAGAGAATGAAACAAAATTTATTATGAAGTAAAGATGAATACATTTATGCAGGAAAATCGCAATTATGTCAAATGATTGAAGTTTTGAGATTGGCATCCTCACATATTTTCAGACTTGTGACAATACTCAATAAAAAGTGTCCTTACAAGTCTCAAGACATGAGCACATCTAGAATGACTCAAAAGTAATCTTCTGATAAAACACAGGTTAATCCAGGGTACAGAACGAAGTAAATTAGGAATAATAAATCTCACAAATTATTCTCCTTGAAAGCTGTTCACCAATCAGATCAGTAAAAAAAACCGTTAGGGTAGACTTAGATTACGAATTCTGTTACCAATCTTCAGATTAAAAGTTGTTTTCTCATCATTATGCAACCACAGGTAACTACTGCTTTCAGGCGACAACACTTGGTTTTCATCAGGAATAAGAAATCTCACACATTTGTCCCTTATACTATGTTAACCAATCAGATTGGAGAAACAATCAAATCCACGCCTAACCAATTCCATGGATCAATCAATTCCAACAAAATTTCTTATTTACGCATTCAGACTTTTGGACAGATCAGATGTAGCATGGTTTAAGGTAAAAGTGGAGAGGGAACAGACGTAACGAAACAGGCATGCAATGGCTTGCCTAAACCAATCGTATGTGCTGGTATATAAACAAGTGTATGAACAGAATTAAAGAGAAGGAGAACTCATGATGAATTTGCATGATCTCACATCAATTACCAGGCTAGACAAGTTCAACTTCTAACAGGATGACAGCAGAAGATTTCTATGCAATTGATTGAACCGACACACTATCGGTTCTCTGTGGAAATCAAAACAACAACACTATCGGAGGGTCCGCATGAAAAGGCTGTGTGGTTCTGCGAGATTTAAATATGTGAAGGATCATCTGTTTTACCTAAGCAAGCATTAGAGAGGGGAGGAGAGGACAAAACAGGGGAGGGAATGAGAGAAGAGGACAGAGGAGACAAGAGGAGAGGGCGAAGGAGAATGGGGGGGAAGAGACGGGAGACAGAAGTACCTGCGAGAGGAGGCGACAACGGCAGTGAGAGGCGGTGGGTTGTGGCTTGCGGCCAGGAGGAGGAGGTTCGGCCGGCGATGTCGGCAGCCGCAGCAGAGGAAATGTTAGGGCTCGCACGTCGCCTGGCTTCCCGTGCACGCCGCTTCTCCTGATGAATTTTTTTTTTTATCTTTTCTTTTTTGTGTCTTTAATAAGCTCATCGAGTCGACTCGGACCGATTGTACCGAGTCGAATCGCGAGTCAACCCGAGCTCAATTAACGCCGAGCTGACTCATTGGATTGGTGTGGGCCGTATGATCGAACGATCCCACGGTCCAGATCGCGAGTTTGTTTCTTCGCGGTAGATTCATGAAGAACGCACGGACGAACTGAGAACTTCTTTGTGTCTTATGTTGATGTATGTGCCTATGACAACATTCCTAGGATTGGGTTTCAGAAGCGAGTGATGCAAACATATGCAAGAGGAGCATCATAAAGATAATTGTTTACTTTGATGACGACCACACTGTTACATATTATATAATGATTTATCTATAATTACACTTAACAACTCAAAATAGTTTCATAAAAGACTAATAATAATATTAAGTTAATTTTTTTTTAAGAAAATCAATTTTAAATAAGTTTCTCATAGCATAATATAATCCAAATATTACAAAAAAATTCTTCGGTTACTCCTCAGGACTAAATAGAGTAAATAATAATAATTAGATAATTTATAATATAATGATATGAATGTTAGCACAAAAGCACATCATAAATCACATACAATTTATGGTTTTTATGAATAACAAGAAATATCATCACAAAAACCTGTATGTCATGTATAATTTATTATATGATTTAAACATAAGCAACAATGATAAATAGTAAGAAAAAAAACATGTAATATTCTCATAAATCCTAATCACATTGGTACATACACATGACACATGAAATATCTTACCTTACTTGAGAAACAAAACACATCACAATACAGCTAAAAGAATAATCAAATCTTTGGCAATAAATAAAAAGTAAAAGGAATAGAATAAACAAGAAAACCTAACACCTTTGCTAGGTCTATTTGGCACATTGGTTGCATAAATTCAAATAATAAGGAAATAAATCAAATATTCATGCTTTATGTGATTTTTTTTTGGATAGAATTTGACTTGATTAACATGAAACATGCTGCTTTTGGGACTTGATTATGTAGGAACCATTAAGATTCTAAGTGACAAAATACTGCCACAAGCAATGTCTCCCTAATTCATTTAAACATGAATCATATTCGAAATATGCAGAAACCATATTTGCAAAGCTAAGTTAGCTAACTAGAATCTATAAAAAATTATCAGATGTGGTCTCAAATTTAAGGGTTGATGGTTGGAGATCACATCTGATAATTTTTATAGGAGGAGCAACAGTTTCTGATGGAGGGAGGAGTCTGATGCAACACCTCAATGAGCAATGTGTTGTTGTTTGCTAGTCTACAGATAACTGATCTGCACAAATTGTAACACACTGCTATTTCCAGCAATTTAGCAAAATTGAAATAAGAGTCCTCCATCCATGTTTCCTGTTTTTTGCCTACATAATATTGATACACACAATAATGATCCAACGATAGTATCTGTTCATTAAAACAAACTTTTTTTCTCACAGCCCCAACTGAGATCCCCGAGTGCTCTTTGCTCCAGCAGCAGCATTCAACCACAGCAAAGCCACTTCCGCTACATCAAATTAATAAAGAGGCTAGTGAATTATTGAAAGAATCAGTGAGCTTGTGTTATACGACACACACGAAAGCAGGAAAAGGACGCTTTAAGCTAGCATGATTTCCAGATTGTGGAGCTTTTATGAATTTGTAATCAAGTCACAATGATTCCAGAGATCAGCTGCGATTAAAAATAAAAGATAGTGACATACACTTTTTCTTGGATACTGGTAGGTGTCATCTGCTTGTAGACCGCCTACATCTCTTTTCGGTGTTGCTGTGGGTGTGCCTGAGTTACCACCTGTCTTTTTTTCATCTCGGGCCTTGTTGAATATAACAGTGTACCCTTCAGCTGAGGCAGGATTATTGACATCCCACTCTCCAAACTTGGGCAGTGGTTGAGCTGTCTCCTGATGCGCTCAAAAAAAAAAAATCTCGAGGACCATGGTCAGCTATGGAAAACCAAAACTGCCAATAGGCGAGACAACAGAAGCAGCAGAAACAATTAACCAGCAATTAGTAGTTAATTTTCTGCAGAAGATTGTACTACAAAATGTACATGAAATGACAAAAGTGAAGAAGTTTAGTCATATTAATCTTATAACAAAAAAACAACAAGCTGTACGTTCCCAACAATCTAGAGGCTATATGGTTTCTTTTTTCTGCTGTTTAGGGAAATATGACTAGTCCAACAAAAAGCAATCAGATCTATTTTAATTTTGTTGTCGAAAACAAATATTACAACTTCCTCAATCTCTCCTTACTATATTAATCTAATTGATTTGTCTTTTCTCGCTGCTGCATCTTTAGGTCTTTTTTTAACGTGTCTACATCATCTTATAGATGAATTTATCTCATTGTATCCTCTATTGTTCATAAATTAAACATTTCTTATTCTTTTTCTATAACCTGTCATCTACCTTGAAGTCCTTATATCAGCAATTAATGTCAGCAAGAATGTAGCTTGGGTGCTGTTGATAATAGCTGATTTTTCAGCATAAAAATGATGACATGGTATGAGATTAAAGCATATGTTGAATACATTGCCGATTCAGAGCAATCTAGAGTTACATAACTTATCAGAAACGCTGCATACAAGTACAACAAAATTCACCAATTCTGTTTATACAAATGCACGCACTGTGTCATTAATCATTCTCCTACTCCAAAAAAGAAGCTTTTCTTTTGCAAACAGTTGATCCTTTTCTTCCTCAATTAAATTTCTATTTTCCCTTGTTCACTCGAGTACTTGAAACTTGAAAGCATAACAATCCTCCTCATAAAGAAGTTTAAAGTAATTATTTACTTAATGCATGGTGATCCTCCTTGTAAGAGAAGCATAACAAAAGTAAAGTATGAGAAGAAAAGGAGCACAAACTTTTCAACCAATTGAAATGTGGAGGATCAGACATTCATTACTTTTGATACAAGATTTATTAACAACTGGCCTAGCAGATATATTTTGCATTACACATGGGCTTCAGAATTTCCTCAGCTACATATCAAGTATAGATGGATAAAGTACATGCAGAAGGATTTCTATGTGTTATAGTCACGATTTGATTACAAGATACTCGGCTAAACGTGAGGAACATTTACATCTCTGTGACATTTGCAAAAATTTGGATCAGTTAATTTGCCTAGACATTAATATTACGAACTTGAGTGAGCAATTCCAAAAGCTCCTCAATTCCATCTGACTGAGAATAGTAGAATACGACCTCTTAAACGAATAATTTTATCCGGGTCTGGTACTTTTGTCTTCAGGCGCAGTGGAACTATCTTATGGACAAACATGCTAGCTTCCTTCTTGGTAACTCTTAAAACAGGTAAAGACAAGAAATTATCATCTGTTCATGATGCAACTGGTTTCTATAAAATGAACAGACCGACTTATACAGGCTAATCCTAGACAAGTTAGTATATATGATACAAGCACCTCTGAAATTAAGTTTCAATTACAATAATCAGCACACAAAACAGTGTGCAATATAAACAAGTGACATGTCTGATTTTCTAATAACTAATAAACCATAATATTAAATTATTTGAAAATATTCTTAAAAATCACAGAATAAAGAAAAATATTCAGTATAAAATTACTTTAAGAACAAGAGTTGGTTTCTTAAGTCACAACAGATTTCATGATATTGCTTCCTACATTCCTCCTACGATTTACCTGCAAAATGGTTCTAAACTATATTAATATATGATTCGGTATAAGATGATAATTTCAACCAAGACCAGAAATAATATTACTTTCAGGATTGTGTTGTTGGCTCAATTTGGAATGTCCTTGGCAAGTAACTTGACGGTGCTCAATGCAAGAGTGCGTGCTTGGTAGGACGAGACCATGTATGGAGGGATGAAAAAATGTGGTGTTTAGTCATATTTTTCACATGATACAAAAATTTTGCATTTATGTAGCATTGCCTTCGTGTAAAGACGGATTTTAGTGTCCAAAGATAAAGACGTAGCTTCCATAGCTAGATCACATAAAATATGTAATATGGTCCCCATATTGATTCAAAGCACTTTGTCGGAAACACTAATAAGAATATTGATGGCAGCCAACACAGAAAAGGAAGCTACCAAAATCGAGTTGACTTTCTGGTTGCAATTGTGATCATAGTGAGCATGAGAGAAGTATTATTATCAACAGTCAGATAGTATGGTATGAAAAACTCTAAGCTATATCTTATGACATTATTACTTGCCAATGTTTAACTTTTGTAACTACCTTATTGTATAGATAGGTGCTTCTTGCTATGCAGAACCTTATACTGTCTCCTGATGTTCTTTTCACTAATGCTAATTAATGCTTCTTTGATTAGAAACAACATGATCTCGCATGTAAGAAAAACATATACACTATATGTGCTGAGCAAGCAGTCCCCAGCAGTATAAAGCTTATTTGAAGAGGTTTTGCACCTCCTAGCTTTTTGTATGAACCTCAGTTGATATAGGTTCAGGTATACTTCAGAAAAAAAACAGTATACAGCTTATCATATTTCATTACACAGTTAAGTGTAAAGGGAAATGACAGTAAATTCCATGGTGTATATCCACAAAACTAACTAATTGCAGTTTTATAGAGAATTGTAAAACTTGTTAATGTCTTTGAAAGCAAGAAGGATATGATGAAAATCTGAGAAGTGCAGAACAACAAACTGGCTGATCAGATTGTGGACATCTGATAAGTCATATATGGAAAGAAAGGTCGATTATGTTGTTGTGAACAAGAGTTCCCAAAAGATGAGTTTTCATGCTATAGGAGATGCGAATAGTTAATCGTTATGGGGTGACAAATGTAAGAAAGTCCAGCTTAGAGAATGCCCAAGTCCACATCAAGGAACTGAACTGGTTGATGCCCCAGGAGAAGATGGTGTTGTATGAGAAGGGATGATAATTACAGAGTTAAGCTGTCTTTCTTCATAATTAAAGCTACAGTTGGATTAGTAACTAATCATCCAATTGCTGCTAGGACTAATAAATGTTGGACAAAACAACAATAACAACAAGAAGTTGTAAAGTTGCAATTATTTGGATCAGCTACGTAGATCCTTTTTCACCATAAAGATTTTGGACAATCTGACCCCTAATTCAATAAAGAAGAAAGAGACGATAAATGGTACCCTACAGGTGAGTAAGTCCAGTTAAAAGAGAATAACAGAGGAGCAAACAAAGAGAAAAAGAGAAAGGGAGTGGGAACAAAGAGGAGAGAAGGAAAGAATGCTAATGTTTGACATACATCTTAATTTGCACATGCATTAGCATTTGCTTTGAAAGTGATAATGTCTGTTTCCTATTTAATATTTAAAAAGTTCATAAATTGTTTTGACAATAGTGAAAATCAGCCTGCAATAATTGTAATCTGCCTTTAAGTGAATCACATATATTTTGATACCTTCTATGGCTTGTTATGTTAATATTTTCATCCCGAGTGAGGTTAAGACTATTTCACCCTTAGAATTTCTCCAAAATAAGAGAAATATTTAACGAGCAATATCATGGAGCTTACAATCAGGTTCTGAACTGGAAACTAAATAATGAACCTTATCTAGCATATTTCTTCTCCGGATTGAACCAATTCAATCATCAAAAGACAATTCAGAAAGTTATAGTTCGTTTAAGCACTTAGGTTACTAGTATTCGCTTTAGTCACCCAAATTTGAAGTCTCGAATAAAAAAAAAAAAATCATTCTCACATAAACTGGTCATGTTTGTACAGATTTCGGAATCCTAAAACAGTTCCTATCACCTGGATAAGCAATTAAGACAACTGGAATTCATCGGAGGTTCCAAGTCAACAAGGAACGCAAATGACAATGAACAAAAAATCATATTTTCCAAAACACGTAATCACCCAAAAAATCGACTTCCATATAAGTACAAGACCAAGCAAGTTGCATAAACTACCAAATCTAGATACAACACTTTCGACTCCCACACCATTCAGTCAATCCCCAAAAGGGATCAGTCCCCAAACGTAATCCACATCTCCCAAACTTTCCCAGAACTTACTGAATTTTCAGGACCATTTCAATCAAAATTCGATCGATCGATCGATTTCAAAGAACAGCGAGGGCGTTTCAAGTTCCGAGGACTCCCGATTGTCTGAACGAATCAGATTTCTCGGAATCGTACAGTCGATGAGCAAAGAAATCACGGAAAAGTTGGAGGAGTAGAAGATCGCTTACCGAGGACATGATGGACGAGATCGGATGCGGGGAAGCCCAAGAGATCGGTCGACGCAAGGAGAACAGAGGGAACCTGGGGTGACTTCCTCTCTCTCTCTCTCCCCCCTCTTTTTATGTGATGACCGAATAATATCTGGTTCCATCCTTCGTCCGAACGTGCAAACAATACATCCGTGGGCCCTAAGTGGTCCAACGCTGCTTCGCCAATCACGAAACTGGTAGAATCGTTGCTGCGCACTTCCGGACACGGGAACCCGTCTCCCGTTCCTTCAACCGTGTCACTGCGCCTGTCTCAGCCGTTGGATCCGACAGTTCTCGCCTTAATGATTTGTAAATGTCCGAATCCAACGGCGGAAGCTCGAGCCCCTCTATGTGGGCTCCAACTCTCAAATATCACCTTACCGTGGCGTCATGCACGGTGCATCACCAATCAGCCAATCATGAAACGGGTAGAGGTCCGGTATACATAAACGGGTGGCAAAATAAAGTTGCTCACTTCGCGAATCGGGTACCGGGCTCCCGTTTCTTTTCAACCATCGACCACGGGGCCTATCTCAGCCGTTAGATCAGAGCGATCTCGCCTTAAGATCCACAAGTATCAATCAAACGGTGGAGCTGGAGTTCTTCGGCTACGGCGACGGGCGGGCCCCGCCAGATTGGGATCCGAGCGGACACTGGGTGGCGGCGTTGGTGTCTCTCATCGCTGTTCTGTGAGAAATGCGCCGTGGAAGTAGTCTCTCTTTTGCTCTCCTTATTTTTACTTCTCTTTTTTTTTCTGTTTCGATTTGTTTTGTTTAGATTGTCAAAAAAAATTTTGTTCGTTTAATCCGAATTCGTCACTAAGATTTTCTTTTTATTTTACTGGACTTATTCTAACATAATCATTTTTTTCTTTCATTTCGATAATTTTTGGATCTTAAAGAAATCACATTCCAACATTATATCGCTATAAAGAGGAAGACCTAAAAAAATCTGATTAAAATTATACATATAATTTTAAATATTTTAAATTTAATTAAAGATGCCTGGAGATTAGACCCTAAATAATCAAGACAAGACGACTCTATTATTGTTGTTGTAAGCATCAATTTACAATATAAATTTGGATAGAAGAATGACAACAAAAATGATAGAAGGTTTATTCATAAGCAAAATTTTAGCTTATTACATGAAGCCTTCTAATATTGAACATTACACTTTCATATGTTTTCACCCATTCACTGTAGATGTTATGCTTGTTCTGCATGTTGGACATCCGGAGATCTTCTGACCTCAATCTATGCAACACTGCAAAATGCTATGACAGGCATCAGGAAAAAAAAAAAAAGAGTGATCTTGCACATTTAAGTCTGGCATATGTATAGTGTATATATGAAGAAAACTGCGGAAACTATATACTGGAATTGATCTTCTCCTCAAATGCCATCACCAACTCCAACAGGCACAGCTGATACTAAACATATTGGTGTGTGAGATATGTCAAATGTAGAGTGTTCTCTGTTCTGCATCCCTGTGTCAATTACTTTGTAGAGGGAAGAGGTAGAGAGATGCTTGAGGGTGATGGTTCTTGGCCACATATCAGTATTTAGCTAGTTCATATTGATCTTGGATTTGATGACTATTCTCTCCAGGAATTGGATGGAGGTGTGCATGCTGAAGAGAGTAAAAAAGCAATAATAAATTAGGAATTTGGATTTGAAGAACTTTCCTTCCCAACTTCACAGCTCATGGTTTCATTGCATGCATGCATGTCATTTCCACTGAGATCTTCACCAAGTAATAGTTCTGATCTGTACCTATTTAGGATCTCAACAGCAGTGATGCAGATGTTGAAACTGCACATGTAGAGCAAATTGAGCTTGTTCATGGAAAACACTTTAAACAGTACAAAGCTCAGAAAGATCAAAGTGCATAGAAACATTGATTCTTGAAGATCTACTCTGTGGAAAGTGCTGCTTGGCATTCACTACCTAGAAGATGGATTTTTCTGTAGTCTTAATAGTCATGCTACAACCTTTGCAGACAATTAGCATTCCTGCAACCTAATCAGCATGACATTATCTTAATTGCTTGAGTTTAATTTTCATTTCGAGTTCTTTTGGAGCAGAAATCTTGATCACCGATACTAATTAAATTTTGTTTTATGGCGTCCAAGATCTCCAAAATCTCCTGCTGCCAAGCAAAGTCAAAGAGGTTTCTAAATTGCTTCAGAGATGTAATTATAAGTACAGGAAGTATCTCCATCAAGCTTAGATTTTAACAGATTACACCATCTCCAATAAATTATATATATGCACATTTATGTATCAGTAATTGAAATCTTAAAAAGCATGATTATGACAGGCTACTAATTCCAAGTCTAATGATAAATCCTGGAAATGTTTCCTAACCTATAATGTTCAATATTTAAAGTGCTAAACTGTGAACTATACGAAGCATTCCAAGCTCCTAAAATCTCTCTTCAGATCCTGGCAACACTAAAAAACATTTGCAAGCAAGAACACATGCTATAAACGATATGTAACGAGAAAGCAGTACGATACTTTCACCTAGCAGATCAATGCTATAAACTACATTAAGAAGACCAACATAAGAAACTGCAAAGCCCAAACTGAGAGCATCGAGTTACCGAAGGGCGAACAGCCTTGAAGCAGAGTGGTAATACGTGATCTTGGCACGGTTCAATCAAAGAGCAGAGCTCCAAAGTTGAGGAGCACCGCTCTAACCAATATTCGGCAAGATGAGAGTCTCAATAAAAAAAAGTAGGTCAAGGAGCACCACTTTCTAATCGAATCAAACTAATATCGCGTTTTGTAGAAGAATTTGAAGTGGAAAAGGGAGAAGAACAATCTCATCCATAAAACTCTCTTCGGATTCTGCTTTGGAAGCGTCGATGAGTTGTGGGGGTTGGGGAGAGGAGGGGAAATCGGAGCAAGGGGAAGAAGGTGTAGTAGTCTTCTATAGTAGGATGAAGGGGGAGAAGAGAGCATCGAATGGGCCAACGGCTGAACAGGGCGGAAGTTAGAGGATATTTATTGATGATGGAAACAATGTGATGCCGTGAGTAGGTTCAATTCCCGGATGGAACTAATGGCTCTTTAATGCCACCTCTGCCCGTTTTATTTGATTTATTTATTGCAAATGATCTTTCTGAAAAACAAAAAAAAAACAAAAATTTCAAGAGGTGTTCTAATTTTCATTTTATCAAATGGTGTCACTATTTTGAATAATATTCAAAATATCCCTACATCAATCTCAATATATTTTTTGGGTCAATTACAGTTTTTATATGTTATAGTATTTTTTTCATAATAAAAACATCATAAAATCTACTTAAAAATAATATAAATGATATAAATGGATTCATAATCTCAATCAAACCAAATTCAAGCCAAGATTTGATATCCTAGTGGTCTATGATTAATAACAAATAAAGAGACATAATATAATATCACTTATAGTGTTTTTATAATATTTTTAGCACCTCGATAAAAATATTATAATATTATTAAAAATTATAAACGATCTAAATAAAAATACTGCAATAGTCCAAAATTGATGATAAAAACTAATGAAAAAAGTGTAATAGGGATGATGAGAGATGTTTTTAATATTATTTGAAAGAAGGATATCATTTGAAAAATATTATAAATGAATCTAAGACATTGTAACCGTCCAAAATTGATTAAGAAAATATCATTATCACTATTATTTGAAACAAGAGAAAAAATAAAAATAGAAATATTATTAGGATCCTATTTATTTTAGCTTTGAATAATATTTTATTGAGTTTATCTAGTGAAAATAAGAGTTGGATAAAGGTTTATTTGAGATTTATTTATTTATCAGGAGTCCAAATCCTAATAGACTCGTAGGTGGAACTCTATAAATATGGATATACCTATTTCATTTTATCATCTATGGAATATTATTCTAATTTTTAGCAAACTCTAGGAGGTCAATCATATCGAAGTGATCAAGGACGTCGATCCCTTCAAAGTGATCATTACTTTTCTTTTTCTTCTTCTATAATAAAACCCTATAGTCTTATCATCTAGTATTAGAGCAGTAATCCTCAACATTCCCATTGTAAATTCTCATGTCACTTTGCCGCAGCAGCCATCATCATCTAAAAAAAAAAAAGCCGATAGTCGCCCCATCCCGCTTGAATGAGAAAGGGCAGGGCCATCTCCATTGTTTCCTAGCCTCCGTGACCCCTCGCTTCTCCTAATCCTCGGTATTCCCACTGTAGTTCCTCATCCCACCTTCTGCTGTAGTTGCCCTCAATCGTGTCTCATCTCACCTTTTGTCGTAGTCTCCCTCGGTCATGCCTCATCCCATCTCTAGATACAACCCTTGACATTCCTTCCCAACTTAGCGATTATCTCTTTCCTAGCCTCGGCGACCCCTTGTCAATCCTCACCCCTCTAACCGAGTGATCGCTGCCAGTGTTCCCTCCCAGTCGAGCGATCGTTTTCGCCGCCAGTGTTTCCTCACCCCTTGTCGTGCCTCATCCTACCTTCCATTGCAGTCACCCTCAATCGCGCCTCATCCCACCTTTCGTCGTAGTCACCCTCAGTCGTGCCTCATCCCATATTTAGTTGCGACCCTCAGCATTCCTTTCCAGCCAAGCAATCATCTCTTTCCTAACCTCGACGACCCCTCACTAGTCCTCATCCCTCCAATTGAGAGATCATCGCCAACATTCCCTCCCAACCGAGCGATCATTTCTTTCCCTCCGACCAAGTAATCATTTCTGCCTCGCAACCCTCGGTGACGCTGCTCCCAACCGCGGCACCATTACTACCTCCCAGCCTTGGCAGCATCATTTTCTCCTCACAACGATAGAAATAGGGTAACTCCCCACACCGTCGCCTTCCAGCCATGCTATCGTCGCTAATTTCCAACCGCGATCCTTGGTGTTTCCGCAGCAATTACCCATGCCACCATCATTGCCTACAGCTAAGCACCTTTAATGTGATAGTAGCGAGCCCTCTTGCTGCTCTCAGTGTCTAGTAGCATCCTCGACACCATTGCAATGATCCCTCATATCCTCCTCGCAGTGACCACAACAAACCCTCACACTGCTCTCGACATCCGCTTCCTCATCGGCATCCTCG